CGAACAAACGTTTTAAGCGTGGTATTATAGGAGCATACCACATAACCTTGGCGAGGATTTTCTTTCTAGGACGTTGTTCACCCTCGACGTCACTAGGATCATCGTGCTTTGATCTTATACCGTGATGCTTTACATACCGGGCATTCATCCAAATTCTCGTATTCATTGCCATGGTAGAGGATGCGATCATTAGGACATGCATGTATCTTACGGATTTTTAATCCCAAAGGCGGAACAACCTTTTTTGCTTAAATGCGTAGTGGTGGGCAATTCATTTGGCTTGAAGCATCTTCTTTATGAGGTTCAATATATTCCCAAATGCCTTGTCGGATACACCATTCTTTGCCTTCCACTATAGCAATTCCGATGTTGTACCCAACTTTTTTGCCCCTCTTGGCCGTCGGGTATAGCAACTTCCTATGATCCTCAAGCATCGCTCGAACTTAACTTTCTCTTTTCACTTTCCCATTCTTGTTGTGCATCACGAATGGCATCGCCAAAACATCACCGAGATCATCTTCTACCGCTACCTCTTCTTCATCTCCCCCCATTGTAGTATCATCAAAGGCACCATCTTGAGCAATAATGTCATCAATGTCTAAATCTTCTCCTTCACCTTCTACCATCATGACCCCGCTTTCTCCATGCTTAGTCCAACATATATAGTTTGACATGAAACATGACTTAAGCAAATGTGAATGAAGACTCATTGAGCTTGAATATTCCTTTAAATTCTTACATAGGGCACATGGACAGACACATGAAACCATCCAGCTTATTTGCCTCGGCCACACCTAAGAAATAGTGCAAGCCCTCAATAAAGTCTTGGGAGCGGCGATCGGCATTGTACATCCAATGGCGTGACATAATCATATTACCGACAAATTATGAAAACCTTGAACATAATTAAGTATTTTATTACACAACATAGATGACACACACACACGGTTGATTAATTAACTAAGCTTTGGCTACAACGTAAGCAATCCCAACTATCACTAAACAAACTAAAACTACAATGCACTTGATAACATAATTATTTAAGTGATAAATGCGCAACTAAAACAGACAAATCATTCTTACATTGAATATCAATAAGCTTCTCCTGTTGGCTCACTTTGCCTCATCGGCCAATGGTTAAATTACTGCGTATGTAGCATAATCTTCCTCCCATTACCAACCATCGCATCCATTGCCCTCCCACTGAAATTAAAGCCAAAAAATATTTAGTCAAAAATATTCAAGAAAAGCAGTCAATTAGCCATAATAATCAAATCGTAAGAAACTCACATCATGATCTGGGCACTTGTAGAAAACCGACGACCCTTGTTGGGTCCCTGTCTCTTGACTCGGTACTCCATCACAATCTTACGCTTACACTTGCCGCAGATAATGAGAGGAGAGTTACGGCCTCGATCATTTCAAGAACCGAGCGAGAGGCCAGGATCCGTACCGATTGTCATCTACTTTCTATACTTATTTTTGCAAACTACTGTAAATTTCACATTTTCTAAAATAATATATTTAAACAAAACTAAAATTATTTATTTATCTAACTAAACCATGAAATATGTACTATGTATAATAGTAAAATACCAAACTATCAAGTGATTTTACTATTGTAAATCATCATGTGATTTTGAGCTAAAAATGACATAGAAATCACATAGCTCAAAAACATGTTTCAATAAATAACCATCCGTACTAGTTGACCTTGCTTACATGATCATCTCGGCGAGCATTTCTCCACCGGACGGCACCGTACTTGGCCAAGGAAGAGCTCCGATTCTACGAGGAAGGGAACACGGTCTTCCACGACCATTGCCGCTCTCCCTCGTAGAATCAAAGCTCCTCCTTGACGTCTGTTACCGCTCGGCAGAGAAAATGCTCGCCGAGATGATCACGGTCCGCAAGTTCAACTAGTATGGATTTTCTATAATTTTCTAACTATTTTCTAAGTTTTTCATTTCATGGAAAAATTAATTCTAAGATCACGTAAGCCGCCGGGGACGAGGATGGCGCGTGCTCCAGCGAGGACGAGCGAGGCGTGATTTTGATGAACTAATTTAACTTTTGTTTATCCAAACATATATGCAAATCATCTTGTGATTTTGAGCTAAAAATGACATAGAAATCACATAGCTCAAAAACATGTTTCAATAAATAACCATCCGTACTAGTTGACCTTGCTTACGTGATCATCTCGGCGAGCATTTCTCCACCGGACGGCACCGTACTTTGCCAAGGAAGAGCTCCGATTCTACGAGGAAGGGAATATGGTCTTCCACGACCGTTGCCGCTCTCCCTCGTAGAATCAAAGCTCCTCCTTGACGTCCGTTACCGCTCGGCAGAGAAAATGCTCGCCGAGATGATCACGGTCCGCAAGTTCAACTAGTATGGATTTTCTACAATTTTCTAACTATTTTCTAAGTTTTTCATTTCATGGAAAAATTAATTATAAGATCACGTAAGCCGCCGGGGACGAGGATGGCGCGTGCTCCAGCGAGGACGAGTGAGGCGCGATTTTGATGAACTAATTTAACTTTTGTTTATCCAAACATATATGCAAATCATCATGTGATTTTGAGCTAAAAATGACATATAAAATCATAATAAAGTCCAACATATAAAGTTACACATGCATCTACATCGCAAAATGAGATAAGCTACTGATAAAATATAAGAGGATTAAGTTTGTTACCTCCAAAATCGAAGAGCAACACCAATGGAGGGGGAGAGAGCAAGAACAACAGCAAGCTGAAGAACAGAGGCAGTGAGTTTGAATGGAATGGCTCGGGCTCGGGGAGGAAGAAATGAGCCGTTGTATAGGCCTGCATAATTAGTCCCGGTTAGGTGGCCAAACCGGGACTAAAGATTAATATTTATTCCCGGGGTATCACCCAAACCGGGACTAAAACCTTTAGTCCCGGTTGGTAACTAAAGGTTTACCTTTACCTTTAGTCCCGGTTGGTAATACCAGCCGGGACTAAAGATCCCTGCCACGCGGACGACCGTTGGGCAGGGACCTTTAGTCCTAGTTGGTATTACGAACCGGGACTAAAGGGTTCTTTAGTCCCGGCAGCAAAAAATGTCGAGGCTAATGTCAAATTAGGACATCGTTCTAAAGTCTGTTCTCTAGTAGTGTTACTTAGTGGGGTATGACATCACTTAGTGGAAGTTGTTGTTGCACTTAGGGATGACACATGGCACATAGTGGGGTATAACACGGGGATAGCTTACATTTAGAGATTGAAAGATAGCATGGTTTACTTTTATAAGAAACTAGATGATACCCCGCGCGTTGCCACGGATATTTATAGTGCTGCACAAATGGAACAAATGTGGAATAAAAAATCACAGGGGAGATTGAGGGAAATTTCATGTAAACAATGACAGCAATGTGAAATAAAATGATAGAATAATAAAATCTCAAGTAGAGTTTTTGAATAACATGTATGGAGCGGAAAGATCTTGGTGAGGCAACAAACTCCACCAGACTTGCTACCTGGGGCGAATCTACAGGGGGGGCTGGAGGGCTCCAACACCCCCCTACAGCTGGTGCATCAATGGAAATATGAGGAGGGTGAGGGAGAAGAAGAGGTGGAGGAAAGAAGAAAAATGGAGAGAGAGAGGAAGAAGAAGAGATCAGCCCCCCTTCAATCCTGTTCTGCATCCGCCACTGCTTAGTACGTACTATTAACCTCCAGTTCAATGGCGGATTGACGATGACAACATAGGATCCTCACATTGGAAGACGCCACGCAGGCCTAGCTAGAGCCAGTCTCGTCTACAGGCGCCGCCCGAGGAGCTTGTGCTTGCCACCATGCAGTGGCCGGCCATCATCTACCATAGCCAGCAGAGGGATCTTCACCTTACGTTGGTCTTGCTGCACATCCGCTGCTGAGGCCTCCAATTGCGCGGCGGTGACGATGTAGTCGTGCTTGAGCATGATGCGATGCTCGGGATCGGAGACGACGGTGGTGCTGGTTCGTGCGTCGAGGGAGGTAAGGTACGCGTGGAAGACGAAGTTGAAGGCGCTGTGGAGACAGAAGCCACCATCGAATGAGGATTATGCTTCTTCCTCCTTTGGCTTCCACCATTGTCTCTGGTCCTCTAATATATATAGTGGGACAGTCCTCTTCGTGGGTGCAGAAGCGAAACGGATGGACAACAACGATTCTTCAGTTTTTGTGCATTAAAGCTATTGACGTGGATGGGAATATGGGAAGGAATTGGTGGGGAGGAGGGAAACGCATGCATGAAAAGGAAAAGAGGCTGATATACGGAAGTTGTGGGGAAGGAGAGAAGACGATCTCTAAGGAGCTGCTGGGAAGGAGAAAAGGTTGAGGGCGTTTCATTCTGTTCTCGCGTTTAATGAAGGGATGAAGAACTGTAGGGCCCATACAGATGACGTGGCTTTCTAAGATCACATGAAAATAGGTTCGTGGGGATCTCCTATTTAGTTATAGAAGATATAGATTCGCTGCTTGTAGTCTTATGCATTGAAGGGGCTATAGAGGTGCACAATATTTTGTTTTTGTTCTCTTCCTATGTATGTTAGTATTCCATCTAGCCAAATTTTTTTTGTCACATTATTATGCGCGCATGATGTTGTATACATATCCTTGACAAATATTTTTTTCAAAAAATATATTCCTCAAATAAAACACACCGCCTCCTACGAGAAGTTTAAGTGTGTGGGATTTCTTATCCACTGTTTGTTGAAAAAATTTAGAATTAGGAAATCATATATAACATGAGTCATATTCTTTGAACTTAGTCCAGAATTAGAAAAATGTGACTTACCTTAGAGCTAAGACACCTTGAATTTTGGAAAGGCTTGTATGATACATAATTTTTTGAAAAGGTAGCATGATACATAATTTTGAAGCATGTATACATAGAAACAGCTCAATCATATCTTTATAATTTCCTCAATCCTCTAGGGCATATCAGTTATTGGATGCACACCAGCGAAGTGATGAGCTCAATGGCCAATTTCAAAGCTCGGACTTATTCAATATGACCACAATGACAGGGCACATGGCCTTCCCTTTCTCAAGGTTCTTTGCAAGCATCGCCGCATACACCATGAACAGTTCCTCAAGGATATCCTCACCAAAATGATTCATGATCAGTGGCTCAATACCAGCCCTTATAATCTTGGCAATGTTTTCTGCGCTACTGGAACAATTGAGAACAACATCGCCATCTGAGTCATCGTAGGCATCCCAGTTTGACTCAAAGAGTCTGATGTCTTCAATGTCGAATAGATCATTTTGCTTAATCAATTGTGTCACCTCATCTAGTGATGGTGCGTAGTATGGCATGTTGAAGGAGCTTAGTTTCTCCTTCTCCACAAGGCCCTACAAACCAGCATGTACAGTGTAGGGTTACATTAATGTATTTAATGGATTATTGGATCGGATGTGCCAAAGTAGAACTGTCATTTAGGTATTTGGCAGTGTTTACTACTAATAAACTATGCAATTGATATTGATATTTTGATAATCTTTTATTACTCATTTTTTGTGTTCAACTCGTTGTACGTGTAATAAATGTACCTTGGGGACTAGGTATTCGAGCGCTTGGGAAAGAACTTCCCAAACGCGTGCCACGCCGCCTTGCATTGGCATCTCTTCCCGTCTCCGGCCAGCAAATGTTAGTACCATATAGCCACCTGATACAAGTTCTTTGTGCCGTAGTGACAAAAACAATTCAAAGTCCTTTTCAAATTGTTCCCGGAACAGGTCTACCACAACTTTTGGAGTAGTCTTCCCAATGTAGATGTTGTCAGCATTCACATGTGTTCCATTTGAGAGATCCTCAGGGATCTACAGATACCGGCCACGTTGCATGCATAAGAAGAACAACAATATATATTAATGATGTCTTGTGGTGTAAAAAGTATAGGCGCCATTTCTAATTTTGCATTCACCAAGTACATAAACAAATTTTGCACCCATCATTAGTTTGAAAAAAAATACCGTTAGTTTCAGCCTTTATATATAGGAATCCGTTGTTTGTGCATTGAAGGGGCTATAGGGGTGTACAATATTTGGTTTTTGTGCTCTTTCTATGTACTCCCTCGGTTCCAAATTATAAGATATTTTGACTTTTTCATACATTACCTTTAGTACCCCTTCATTCCAAATTATAAGATGTTTTGCTTTTGTAGATATACATATATTTTGCTATACACTTAGATATACTCATTGTTTGTGCATTGAAGGGGCTATAGGAGTGTACATCATTTTGTTTTTGTGCTCTTTCTATGTCCTCCCTCGGTTCCCAATTATAAGAAACTCTTGCTTTTTTTCTAGATACATTACCTTTAATACTCACTCCATTACAAATCATTTGACGTTTTGGCTTTTCTAGATACATACTTTTTGTTATGCACTTAGATGTACATAGGAATAGAGCAAATGATCTTGAAAAGTCGAAACGTCTTATAATTTCCAAAATATCTTATAATGGAATGGAGTATGTGTTACTACTCGCTCTCGATAAAAAAAAAATTGTGACAACATTATGGGTGATCTTGTATACATATCTTTAACCAATATTTTCTCAAAAATATATTTTAAAACAGAGCATATGTTGCATGTACTTTTAGCAAAATTGAGACATGCATATATACCTTGGAACGCCATATGAGGCAGTGGGATGAGTGGAACAGATGGACGCTCTGGCAGGGCAAAATCCTTGTGTACATGGATCCAGGCAGTCCGGCGATGTAGCAAGGGACCGCTGCCTGCTTCTCCTCCACAGCGGCCAGGCCTTGGAGCCGCCGCTGGTGCTGATCGAGCGACCGGAACACAAGGTTGAAGTCGTTGCCCGGCAGATCATTCAGAAAGAACTGCACCTCAATGATGGCGCGGCTTCTATAGTTATCTGCCGTTTCCTGGACATGGGCGCCGATCGTGTTCATCACCTCGGAGACGACGAGCAGCGTGTTCGGCCCCGACGAGCATCCGAGGTCAGCTGCGACCATCGTGCTCCCAGCCCCGGGGGAGAGCGACTTGAGCGCCTCTCTGACAGCCTTGTGGAGCTCCGGCCACGTCTCCATTACCGTCTTCCTCTGCACAAGAACATCACAGCGCGTTTCATCGTAGATGAAATACATTCAATGAGACTCGCTCTTATCAAAACATTTATATCTCCTTACTCAAAAAAAAAAAAACATTTATATCTCCAAATTAGTTTATTATAAAAATATATTCAAAGATTTATCTAATGATGCTAATTGTGTGCCATAAATATTAATATTATATATATATTTAGCCAAAGTTAAATAGATTAACGACGACATTTTGTGTGTGTGTGTGTGTGTGGGGGGGGGGTGGGGGGGGGGAGAGAGTAGCTCGTAAGCTTTATTCTGAGCACGAACTTGGAAGATGGAATTGGCGGCGTAGCTGTTCTCTCCGTCGCCGGTTGCCATGTGCAACTCCTTTCCACGGACATGATGGCCTGCGGCGGAGCGCGGCCATAGGAGATCATGGAGGCCGGCATGGCAAGTGCGGAACCACGGAGGAAGAGGAAGGACGACGGTGAGGTGAGGTCGCGCTGCAGGCGTGGAGTGCAGAGTTGCCTTGGGAGTGGTGGGGAGCAGCAGCAAGAGCTTGTGGGAAACATTGCCATTGCTCGTCGGAGTTACGGTTTGCTTTGTGTTGTGGGGCTTTAGACTCTGAACCAGGCAGGGCTAGGGCTCCTTTTATAGAGAAACCCATGTCCACCTTCAAGTCCAAATAAATACAATTAGTCTGATTAATTAGTCCAAAGAAAAAAAAGATGATTTAGCATGGCCCCCAAATATAGCATGGCCCCCAAATATGAATTAGCCCTAGCTAGAGATGCTGATGATAGCGATTTTTTTTATTTTTAACACTTTTTAAAACTATTTTTAAATATGACACTGTTTATTTTTTAAAAAACTAACACTTTTGGCCGTGCCTATTCGTATGACGCGGTGAAATCACGTTGCCACGCCATGCATAGGGGCGCGGTAGGAGCGGCGACGTGGCAGCGACTAGGGCCGCTGAACGCTGACGTGGCCGGTGCTGCCGCGCCGTTGATCTGGGCGCGTCACTGACGCCACGGCGCATGGCGTGGCACCCCTTTGACACGGAGAGACGGACACCTAGCTGGCCCATGCTGCTTTTGCACAGGGTAGGTTTACAGCATGGCACGACACCCCTTTTATTGGAAGCGAGGCGAAGCCAGCCCGAGCCGGCAAAAGTTTACAACAGCTACCCCGCCAGCCGCTGCCGTGGGAATGATGGATAGCTAGGGCGTAGGGAGAGAGCGTGGAGTGCATCAGTGCATGGCTGGCGTCGGCAGCTGCAGTGGAGAGGCTTGCTCAGGCATGTCATGTGGCGTGTGATGTGTTGGGATGGCAAGTACTCCTATGTCCCTTAATGTTTATCGCTACGATTTACGTATCGATAACTTATTCGATTTATTGAAAATACGTGCAACATTTCTATCTCTAAATAAATTTATTAAAAAACTAGATTCAAATATCTATCCAATGATACTAATTATATATCATAAATATTAATATTTTTTTAATATATATTTAGTCAAAGTTGCACTGTGGTTGCAGTTGCAGCTGCAAGAGCTGGAGGCAAAGCACCTAGCATTACCTAGCTCTGTGTTCTTGAGCTTTTACGACAGCACATCAGAGTATCAGATGGAGATGTGGTCCATGCATACGACCATACCCTTGCTCAATCCTTTGCTTCCGATCCCGTTTTCCTTTTTTCTCTTTTCCTTTTTTTCCATGTCTTTATTTGAGTGTAGTGCATTATTGCTTGTTCAAATGCAGTGAGAAATGCTCTAAACTCAGTGATATCAACAAACGCGGTTGCAGAGCAGTGAAAAGTAGGAAAGCTGCAGTTTATTTTCGTCGCTGTGAAAAGTAAGAAATGCTCTCGACTGAGTAATATTACCTGCACAAAAGGATTTCAGCCCCAGTTGCCACTTTTTCACTCCCTCAGCCATTCAGCGTGTAACAGTGTCGCGCTTTGGCTGGTTTCTTTCACCGGAATTGGACCGCAAAAAGAAAAAGGAAAAAAGGGTGAAGTGAAATCCCAATCTCACTGTTTCAGCCTATAGCCAGCGGCAGCGCGGAGGTGGAGGCGACAAGCCACAGTGGCCGTCTGCGTGCCCGAATTTTTTTATTTTTTAGCCTTTTTTTTTTAAAAATATTCTAAAATAGACTCCTGGTGGTTTGATTTTCGTTTATGGATCCTGACCTCGGCGCCATGACTTTTGGCGCCAAGGAAACACGTCTCGGCGCCATGGCTAATGACGCCGAGGTCTTGGCGAGACGTCGGACATGGCGGTGACCTGGCGCCGACGTGAAAGGCCTCGGCGCCGTAGATCTTGACGCCGAGCTGTTACCCTATAGATCTTGGCGTTTAAAATTAAATAAGTATAATTGTTCCGAGGAACATGCAACAACGTCATTGTGGTTCAGCTGATTAGAACGTGCGCGACTTAGCTCAAAGGCCTGGTTCGAACCCAGCGCTGAATTTTTTTTGCTACATTTTTATAAGCATTTTTCGGCTTCCTGACTCAGTCGCTCAGTCGCTCTCTTCTCGTATCATATCAAACACAGCATAACCATCATGTGCAAGCTAAGTGCAGCAAGGCTTCCTGACTCCGGCACTGATTGGGTCGATTCCATCGAACTGAGCTGACACGCACAGTAGGAGTATAGTATTACGAGTATGTGTCATGTGTGCACATCTGGATTCGTACATATATTTGCAGTAAAAAAAACGGAGAGACGACGACACCGATCGATGGTCGAGTCTCTAGCTATAGCAGCCTGATTAATTGTAAGGACGACGGACCGCGACACAGACGGTCGGACGTCGTTTTTCTCCAAGATTCCAAGGGTGCGGCAGCTGCCACGTTTGTTTAATAACGGGCTACGCACTTCACGGGAGCCAAAGTTTAGAATCCTTTTGCTGTTTCCGGCTCAAAAGCCGCCATAGTACTTGTTATTTCTTTGGGTTCCCGTCGCCATATGCATGCATGAATTATTGCTACGTACTTATTTATTCTCCCGTACCCATTACAAAAACCCGGTTTAAGACAAGCTGGTTTAAGCCGCCATAGTAATTGTTATTTCTTTGGGTTCCCGGCGTCATATGCATGAAAAATGCTTATAAAAATATAGCAAAAAAAGATTCAGCGCCGGGGTACGAACCCAGGCCTTTGAGCTAAGTCGCGTGCGTCCTAACTAGTTGAACCGCAATGGCGTTGTTGCATGTTCCTCGGAACAATTATACTTGTTTTATTTCAAACGCCGAGATCTATAGGGTAACAGCTCGGCGTCAAGATCTACAGCGCCGAGGCCTTGTCCACGTCGGCGCCATGTCACCGCCATATCCGACGCCTAGCCAAGACCTCGGTGCCATTGGCCATGGCGCCGAGACGTATTTCCTCGGCGCCAAAAGCCATAGCGCCGAGGTCAGGATCCATAAACGAAAATCAAACCACTAGAAGTCTATTTGTGAATATTTTTTTTAAAAAGGCTAAAATAAAAAATTCGGCCTGCGTGCCTGTGGGCTCCCTCCCCCTGCCTGCTGCCTGCAGCTGCATGCAATAGCTCACGTGCAAGTAGTTTTATAATTAGCTCATATTTAGTCCTCGTAGTTAGCATCCGAACGTCCTGACACGGACTAAACTTTAGTTCCTGGATCTAATTTTCAAACGGAGGATGTGCTAGTTGTTCACATTGTTACATTCATTTGAGAACAATAATGGTGCCATTGACAGAACCAAAGGGGCAGTAGGGGCTCATGTCCCCCCTCCCATTTGAAAAAAAATAATACCCTATAAAATTTTAATTACATAGTATGTCTACCTTCTACTCTGAGTATTTTAGGAACTCGTGACATCCGAGCGTCACATGCCAATAAAACACTCGAAACTGACCTGTTGATAGAATCAAGTATTTTAAGGCCATGAAACACTTAAATTTTATAACCACAAGGTTAAGATCTAATGATCAGAATTAATTCAAAGATAGAACATATAAAATAAAAAATTACCCAGATTATTTCTATGGAAGCCAAATTAGAAGATTTCAAAGCAAAACCAAATAAAACAAAAAAAATTAGCCAGATTATTTCTATGGAAGCCAAATTAAAAAAATTCAAAGAAAAACCAAATAAATATACAGAAAATAAAAAAGGCAAAAAACGGTGAGATAAATATTCAAGTAATTCTGATCATTCTCTTTTAAGAATAATCAATTTACACCAGATGAATATAGAACTTACACCTAAACTGAAGATGTAAAATATGGTTCAATGAAATTTAATCTGCTCTTATATATACATACATGAGTAGGGGCTAGGTGATTTGACACTACCCACCGGCTACTGTAGTCTCTGCACCTACCCTGCGCAAAAGCAGCATGGGCCAGCTAGGTGTCCGTCTCTCCGTGTCAAAGGGGTGCCACTCCATGCGCCGTGGCGCGTCAGTGCCGCGCCCAGATCAGTGACGCGGTAGCCCGGGCCACGTCAGCGTTCAACGACCCTAGTCGCTGCTACGTCGCTGCTCCTACCATGCCCCTATGCATGGCATGACAACGTGATTTCACCGTGCCATGCGATAGGCGCGGCCAAAAGTGTTAGTTTTGAAAAAAAACCAGTGTCATATTTGAAAATAGTTTAAAAAAAGTGTTAAAAAAAAGTTATGATAGCGACCCTGACCCGCTTAGTTCAGTGGGAGCTTTTGTCATGTATCTTGTTAACCATCCGAGTTCGAATTCTCCTTACTCGATTTTTTTTGTTTGTAATAAAAAAACACCTAGTCTTTGATAGGTTGCCTCTCTTTTTCTTAATTATTGGTTTGCCACTTAACCTAAATATTAGGTCATGTTTGGTTGGACTGTGGCTATTGAAAAAGTAGCTGAGAGCTATGGCTTTTGGGAAAGTAGTTGTGAAAAAGTAGCTGTGGGAAAAGCAGAAAATCGTTTGGTCAGAAGTTGGGCCTTCTGAGAAAGTGTTGAGCAGACCCCACATGTAATCCCCAGCCCTCCCCACTCAA